AGTAGCAGTGGTAGTAGGTACTAGGTAGTAGGTAGTAGGTAATAGGTAGTAGGAAGTAGGTAGTAGGTGGTAGTTAGTAGTAGTAGTAGTAGTAGCAGTAGTAGTAGTAGTAGTAGTAGTAGTAGTAGTAGTGGTAGTAGTAGTTGCAGTAGTAGTAGTTGCAGTAGTAGTAGTGGTAGTGGTAGTGGTACTAGTAGTAGTAGTAGTAGTAGTAGTAGTAGTAGTAGTAGTAGTAGTAGTAGTAGTAGTAGTACTAGTAGTAGTAGTAGTAGTAGTAGTAGTAGGTGGTAGTAGGTAGTAGGTAGTAGGTAGTATGTGGTAGGTTGTAGTATTAGTAGTAGTAGTAGTAGTAGTAGTAGTAGTAGTAGTAGTAGTAGGTGTAGTAGTAGTAGGAGGAGTAGTAGGAATCGTAGGAGTAATAGGAGTAGTAGGAGTAGTAGGAGTAGCAGTAGGTAGTAGTAGGTAGTAGTAGGTAGTAGTAGTAGTAGTAGGTAGTAGTAGGTAGTAGTAGGTAGTAGTAGGTAGTAGTAGGTAGTAGTAGGTAGTAGTAGGTACTAGTAGGTACTAGTAGGTAGTAGTCAGTAGGCAGTAGGCAGTAGGCAGTAGGTGGTAGGTGGTAGGTGGTAGGTGGTAGGTAGTAGGTAGTAGGCAGTAGGTAGTAGGTAGTAGGTAGTAGGTAGTAATAACAGGAGGCTGAAACGATTCCATCCTTGCTTCCTTTATTGCTTGCTTACTTCTTTGCTTGCTTGCTTGCTTGCGCGTTTGCTTGCTTGCTTGCTTGCTTGCTTGCCTGCTTGCACGCTTGCATGCTTGCTTGCTTGCTCGCTGGCTTGCTTGTTTGCTGGTTTGCTTGCTTGCTTGCTTGCTTGCTTGCTTGCTTGCCACGAGCAAAACGGAAAAAAAATAAGAAAAAACACGGAAAAAAAATAAGCAAAAAATACCACCACCCCTTTCGGGTAGTGCTTGGGTTTAAGGCATTTAAGACGTGCAGAGAAGACAGGACCCTTATCAAAACTCTAACTATAGCCTATGTGCACTGTCAGAAGGTTCAGAAATTTCGGACACGTTTTTGCCGGAGACTAGGAAAAGCTGATAAACCCACACCCTACACTCCCTAAGTGACTACTTATGCTTTCGGTTTGGGTTTGGGGATGTTCTTGCGGTTCATGGGGGCTCATCCAAGGACCTGATCCGACGTCTTGGCAGTTGCTTGCTGCTTTCAAGCATACAACAGTATCTCTTGTTGCTTCGGTGGTCTGCCCACGCGGCCTTGACCCAATAAACACCCGGCCTTACTGGCCATGTAGGCATGGGAGTTCAAGGACACTGTTGCTCCTCACCCCGAACCCCATATGAATTTCGCTGAGATCAACATCCCTGCAGGCCTCAAGCACTACGCCCGAATCCCCAAATTTCCCAAGCACTTAAACCCCGAAACCTGTCAACCATAAAGCCCTAAAGCCACCAAAGCCCGAAACCATAGGAAAGGGCTGTGGCAGGCGTCTCGGTTTCAGGGCCATGGGCTTAGGGCTTTTTGGGTTTTGCGGTTTTGGGGTAAGCTCCAGCTTCACAAGCTTGGGATGCCAGATTCCTCAGGACCCTAACACCCAATACCAAAACCTAAAGCTCTGAGGCTATCAACCCTCACCAAAGCCGTACAACGGCTTCTGGGGTATATGGATTATTCACAACGACCTCAGTGTTCGGAAGCGTCAGATTTAACATGTTCACAGGCTGCAACCCATAGCAACACGCAGCCTTTGCATGCTTCAGGCAGGCAGCAATGCATAGCTTTCCTCAACCTGAATGAAGAACGCCTTTTTGATATTCTTGGCTGCTGGCGTTTTGCAGACTGTGAAGAAGTCGGTGTGGCTCAGCATCGCCTGGCAAGGTGGTCAAGATTTCCAGATCCCGCTGGAGAGTCGAGGTGTCTTCTTGCGGCTTTGTGCTAAGGTTTTGGGCTTCTGGATTGCAATGCAAACCCCTCATCGTCCACAACGCCGAAAACTACACCCAAAGTAGCTGCACCGAATAATATGGGTCTGAATAGAAACAAGCAGTGCTTCGGTGCACATCCAGGATAACTAGCCAGGGACAAGAAGGGGATGTCGTTGCTTGTATATCTAATCTGTATATTACGCCGAAGGCTGAGTCTAGAGAAACCTTCGTCAATAACCCTCGTGAGGCTAGCAAAAGCAGGACCCCTCCTGCACCCGTCATCGAATCAGCACATCTTGAGGGCTCTAGGCTAGAACAGCAAGGCTCCAACAACCCATTTCTCTGCTACAGCTGTGCCACATAGACAACCCAAACCGTGCCAAAGCTGTTAAAGGTTGCTAGGCTCGAAGTCGAAAGTGTGCCAGGTCCATCCTTGGCCGTGCGTCGGCTAAGGACTCTCGGGATTGCATACAGTCAGGGCCCGCGGGAAGCTCGATGTACAATAGACCGCTCTGTTTTCAGAAGTCACATATAGGTATAGGCTCTAGCCTGCAGCACATGTGCCTTCAATGGACAACTCGATTCGGAGATCCCAAATCAGTATATCGTGCGATGCTTGGCCCAAACTGCGAGACACCTGTATTGTACTGCGCTGGATTGGCGCAGAAGCAGAACAAGCCGTCAAGTCTGGAACGTTAAGACTAAAGCCCTCAAAGGCAATGTCGGCAGCGTGACCAGATACTCCGGAAGATACCTGTGCCAAGATGTGAGCTTTTGCAGGCAATCCTAAGGTCTCTGATTCCTAGCCGAACCCAAGCGGGCTGGGGCTTCAAACCTTAGGTCTGGCACAGCTCCCCCACATGCAACCTAAAACCCCCAGAGCCACTGGTACGGGGTCCTTCCCTGAGCCCTGCTAGATTGTATGTAGAACCCTGGAGCAAGTGCGATTAAACTGCAAGAGGGTTCGAACTTGAGGGTTTAGGGCTTAGACAGGGGGGGTTCGGGTTTTGTGGGGTTTTGGCGTGCGCAGAGACCCCGAAGCCCCAGTTTGAAGCTTGCACTGATAATATAGGTTGCCCATTCAGACACAAGCCAGGAACCCAAACAAATCCGAAACCCTGAACCCAAAGTTCCACGTCCTGGAACACTACAGGCGCACCTCAAAGCCCTACTCAATCCTGAAAACTGAATTTTGAAACTTGAGCCTGCCGGCTTGTCTCATCATCCATTTAGGCGCTCGGTCCACCTGGCGCTTTTGGGATTTGGGGTTCGAAAATTCAGGATGTGGCTGAGGGTTGAGGTTGTGGGGTCAGGGTCCCGGGTTGACGGTTGGGGCTTGGGGCATAAGGATTACCATGTCGGCGATGTTGCTGTTTGTAAGTGATTCGGCAGTGGAAAAAAGCCTGGTGGGACTTCAGGGGCTTGCGATCTCATGGGGAAGGAGTCGTGGCAAGACACTCCACTAAACAATGAACCCTATCCCTAAATCAGTTTCCTAGACCGAAAACCCGAAGCCCTGAACCTGGAACCATGTAGAGTTCTGTGCTTGAGCGCGGGACTAAGGACTCGAGTTCCACCTTCTGGCGTCCGTCTTCCCATCCGAATAACTCCAAATATGCACCCCACTAAGCAGTATCAAGCACCAAACACTAAACCGTAGTAGTAAACGTGATTATCGTGCTTTGGCCTTCTCGGCCCTGCTAAACCTCGCGGTTGCCGGTTTACCATCTGTGGTTCTACTGACCCACTTCTCAGGCAAATGGGGCCCTGTAAAGGTGTCTCTCACAGCATCAAGACTAGCTCTAGCAGGCCCACATGCCGGAGCCTTGAATCCCATCGCACTGCACATAACACGAGTCCATAAGAAAAATTACTGGCAGCAGTAATACCCAAAAGAAGCATATAGGACGCTGAGCTTTGTGCCATTCTATCTTGCAGCGGTTCTGATATAACGAATCTGCTCCCAAACCTGGGCCTTCCCATGCAACATACATGCAGCTTATGCCGGGAGGACCTTCTCCCCTCTGGCGGCCCTGCACGATTTACGGGCTTGTTCAGATTGAGGATGCCCTGCTTGGGGTCCTTCTCTTAAGGATCCCTTTGCAAATTTACATCAGATTTTCACGGTGGCCGCACATTGACCCCAACATAATAAACTGACGCGCAACAAATGGCTACGTGACTAGATCTTTGCAGACACAGGCAGAAATAAAGAGAAACGTCTTCGATGTGCACACAGGCGAGTGGATGGCCACACTTGGTGACAGACACCTGCGCAGTTAGACGAGGCTCAAGCAAACGAAGATGTCGACCGCATGCCAGAATGTGCACATGTAGAGACAAAGAGAGGGAGAGGGAGCGAGAGGAGAGAGAGAGAGAGAGAGAAAGAGAGACAGAGAGAGAAAGGCTAAGACAGCTGCCGACTGGTTGTCAACACGTGTGCGGGCTTAGGCTGCCGAAAAAATCGACAGGAAGCAGTAGATAAGCTTGACGGCAGGCACGGTGAATCGGAACACCATAAACATGTGTCGATCTTCCTTACCGACCTAGGACTTGGGGATTTGATGCTTTGTAGAAGGAGATCACAGGGAAAGGTCCGCAATGCGGATTTCTGTGCGGGCCTTCTCCGTCTGTCTCTATGTACATAAGACATTGCATATGTGCATCCTTTGTATTTATCTACTAGCTGTGTGTTGATCCTTTTTTGTGTATGCATGTTGATGGCTTTTTCAGCGGCCATGGGCGTGGACTATGGGTTCGTTGGTTTAATCTACTCGCCTGCAATCTACTGGCAAACCTTGCCATCACTGTCTTCGTGAAGGTCCTTCAAACAATTCCGAATTTTCAGTCCGACACCCCACTCCGAAATTTATCAAAACAAAAAGCAAAGTCTGTGAATAATCCGGCCTTGACTTCGCAAGGCTTACTAAACCTGATCTCAGTTTTGTTCTTTCTGCTTGCCGCATCTGCAGCTCCTTTCATCTCGACCGAAGCTGTACAACGCTCCAGGGGCTTAGAGCTTAAAGATAAACGAATCGAAGTGCAGAACCGACTTTTCAGTCTCAGAGCTCCGGTGTGCCAAGCCATTGGGAGATGGCAATGGAGTCTGGGTACGGGTCGCTGACCTTCGTGGAATCTTCAGGTCCACTAATCACAGGGCCCGGGTTCCTGTGAGAATAGGATCCCTGGTGCTGCTTTGGGGGTCGGGTGCTTTGGTTTGCAGGGTCCAGAGCCTGCAGGATCGGTCCTTATTCGAACTTGAAGCAGACCCAAACGCCTGCAAAAAGAGTTGAATTTTCAGAAAGCCCCGAGCCAAAAGACGACCCTGTCTTCAAGATGTGCTCGGTGAAACCCATATCTTTCACCCACTACAGCCTTCAGCCTGGAGGGATAAGTTTTGGGATTTGTGCCGGCATCGATCAAAAGAAACTCGATGCGTTCCAGTGTTCTCTTCCCTGCACCACCACGAACAGAACTGCAGATACCGATACAACAAGCAACCCAGTCACAGCTGAAGACCAAGTCTGGCAATATGACCGTAACATCAGGAGCTACTGAAACACATTCTTCTTGTATTCAGACTTGATCGCGGCTCCATGTTTGGAAGACCCAACGGCTCCGCTGCTCCGGGATCCTATGAAAGGTCTACAGCTATGACGATTAGCCAGGAACTTAAATGCTCCAATGCGGGTGCTGCTTGTGGGCCCAACCCCAGTATCGAGTGCCCCGTTGCAGGAAACACTTGCAAATATGGACCACTACAGTACATCTGCGAGTACTCTTGACCTTACGTGTTTCGTCTCCATGCTACATCCCAAGCCTCAGGATTTTTCTCGAACATTTCTCTCAAGAAAAGCAATGGTGGATGCCGCTACGCCGATTTGGAAGGCAATCCGATAAAAAGGGGTTGGCGGCCTGTCTGCACAGACATGCGTAGATCCTGGCATTTTGGTGCATGCATGCTGCATGCATGATGTAAGTATGATTATGAATGTATGTATGCATGCTGCATGCAAGATGTAAGTATGAATGTACGTATGCATGCATGCAAGCATGCATGCAAGCATGCATGCAAACTAGCAAACCAAGGTCGAGTCATATCAAAAACCGTAAGCTCTTCATCTTAAGTTCAGGAGAAACTCCCGCGGCTCTTCGTAAGTAGGTCTTCAGCAGCACAAGCTACATATATTTAGGCCAAGCATCGGATAGGACTTCGGTGCTGAAACCGTTCCGACCTGGCCACAGTCTCAATGCCACCAACAGGTCATTTCCGGTTGTAGACTTCACTGGAACTGTCCTTTCGCGCAGAGTCCCCTTCGAATCCATATCAGCCAAAGTGAGACCCGTCAGGCGCTGATTGCAACACCCGGCCCACAAACTCAACACTGAACCTGCGACCCTCCATGCCGTTCTACATGGCAACGCCCTCGTGCCCTGCCGGCATACCTTGCCTACTCGGGTCCAATCACAGAGTAGTTGGAAATGCAGACCCAGACCAACAGCGGATAGTTCAGATGCTTCGGTATGAGGCATCTCGTGACCGCTTTTGTGCTTTCAGTTGTTTTGCTGCAGCCCTTGCTGACGGAACAAACATTCGTGCAAACAAAGCTCTCAACGAGAACTATTGAGGCTTGGGGCCGACATGACGAAAGCTGATACTGCAGTTGCTATTATTGTACCAAGATTGTGAAGCCTGTCTTGTGCAACATACATGTGACACCTGACACGGTTTGTCACGTCGGTAACATAGGGAGGAACTTCACCAGCCCAAACGAGACTATCATGCCAGAGTTACTCAAAATTACCCTTGCGAAATCAAGGACGACATTCCAAATGGAACTCCCCAGTCCCGAGAACGTCATCCATCGTTTACCCTGGGCATCTTTCACATGTTCAAGACCATGTACTGCTGCCAGCAATACTCGGTTGAGGTGCCTGTGCCAACGAACTCCATGTACTTCGACAAAGCTCGAGCTTTCCTGCGCCAATGATCGTTCGGTGAACAACGTGTTCGAAGATAAAATCTCACGTCGCAAGAAATTTCATTGCAAGATGCAGTAGTGGTGCAAAGGCTGGCCCTTCGATGCTGGGGTTTCCGCCGCAGGCTCCTATCATATGGATTTGATAAACCATATTTACACCGCAGCCCGGATGTGAAGCTGGGTGAAGCTGGGGCCTTCCGGCCGGTTTGGTCTTCATTGGAGGGCGGCTGGGGCCCAAATGTGTCCCAGACCGTGGGTGGCGGATTCAAATATGTGGCCACAGATCCGGAACCGTCGAAAAAGTCTTGCGACCTCAGAGGATTGGCTGCGTCATGACTGTGGCTTATCTGCACAGCAACTACTTACAGAAAAAATTCCAGCAGATCTTCAAATGACGTTATGATTAATGCATATAAGACCCTTCACACACGCGCACGAGATGATAGCGCGATTAATGTCCCTCTTTGCCTCCATCTCCATTACCCCAGCTCCGAGCTGTGGCCAAACACACGATTCCGACAGTAGATTTCAACGTCCGCACAAACAGCCCGTCAAGTCTAGGACTTCGGGTGCTAAGCTGCAGGTTTAGGGCTTAGGGCTTGCTGGGTTTGGCCACCAGCAGGAAGCATTCGGCTTACGACATGAGCAAACTGCAACCACGGTTCAAGAACAATGCATGCAGGCGGGTGCTTTCTGGTCCGGTCTGGGGCGAGCATCGAAAACACAGGTTCATGGTTGTTTCGCCCCTCTGTAGATCTTGCTGTGGAGTCGTCTCGCAACAATCGCGGTATCACGTGCCGCACAATAGCAGGCCAACAAGAGTTCTCTATTGACGACTGACCGAAACACGCTGGGAACTACAACTTGCCGGGCCCTGCTATGTCCTGTATTCAGCTACTTGTCTCTAAGCATGAGTGCCAAATGGTAAACCCCAACGTCTGATAATTTACTCCAAATCCTCACGAGGTTGATCTGGATTACTGTAGAATGTACGACGGGCCCTTGGTTCTTTTGTGAGTCTAGTCAGCCATGCAAAGTTCAAGTCGTGGCCCACATCAAACCATAACTTACAGCTCCTTTCTGGAAGGAGAATTTGTGTAAGCTTTTACCTTACCTTCTGAATTCCCAGAGCCATGAACCCTAAGCCCTTAAGTCGAAGCCCTAAGTCATGGAGGAACTCGCATCTACTGCCTAAGCCCCATTCCTGAGCTCTTTAACCGATTAGAAAAAAGCCAAGGTGCTTGACAGGGGTTCTTGCAGGTTTACATTAAAATAAGGCCCGGATTAGACAGGGTTTCCTGCCATCAGCGCTGCTTACATAATGTGTACGCATACAGATACAGAGCCCCTTAGGTTGCTAGGATTTAGGGTTCGAGGCTTCGGGTTCAAGCTCTGGGAAATAGGGATATTTGCATACAAGCCTTTTCGATCAAGACTTCAACTTCAGAGCCTTGGAAGATACGTAGCCCGAAGCCCGATTCAGGCTTGACAGGTATTTTGAGTATGTCTGGCTCAAGATTTAAGATTAAGAGCACACGGATAGGCGTAGTCAGTGTTTTGCGTTTGCTGCCTGGGTTTTCGGGTGCAAGCCTATGTAACAGACTGTGAAGCCTAGCTTCGAGGATTCAGCAGCGATTCTGCAGGCTATGCGGTGGCGGCTGCCATGGGTTCATGAATGGTTCATGAGACCTTGCTTCAGGAAGGGAAATCTCAAGACCCTCCATTGCCTGTGGATCCTTTAACACTCAATCCCAGGGGCGATATCTGAGCACACCCTAAAACCCCAACACCCAGCCCGAAATCGTGTGGCCTTTTCATCTTGAACCCCTGCACCCTGTCCTATCTACCTCGTGGCCTGTGGTTCAGGATTTCGAGCTACATTTCTATGGCAGCCTACCGATGATTGGACAAGGGCTTCACAAGGGCCGCTACTGACGACTCTAACACGTTATCTTTTATGCTTCTGAAGTGCATCGAACGGTTGCAACAACTGTTGCAAGCTGGGGTGGGTGAATTCTGAAAAGACAGTTAAAGTAGTTTGTCACTTCTCGTTGAGCGCGGGCAGACTACCCTACTAGACAGTGGTTGCAAAATCGGCAAGTCTGACTTGCTGCGTGTCGTGAAAGCCATTGACGAGTCTTCGAACTTTGGGCTTCTTCTGGGCGTCAAAGTCGTTACAGTGGCTCCTGGTCTAAACTTCTGAGAAAAACCACGTTGTCTAAACCTGATGCCCCAAACCTGCAAGCTTTAAAGTTCAGAGCATAAACGGCAAGACTGCCTCTAAGCAGTACCCCAATGGCGTCCTTTTGACGTTGTCCACCTGGACGGTGCCCCCTATGCCTGGGGCATCGGCTGCCATGCGCGAAGCCCGAAATCCGGAAACGCGCAGCTCCGAAATATCTCGTTCAGGCCTTTGGAAACAACGCCCTCGAAGGAAACCCGAAGCTTTAAACGACAAAACCCTAAATCGCAAAGCCCTGAAACCTAAAGCTCCCACAACCCTGTGCCCCTAATGAAATCTTAGGTGGGGATCTGGAGCAGCCTGGACTAGTATTGTAGGGGCTACAAGTGGATGTGACGACTAACTCCTTAAACTTGAGGCCCCTTTAAAAACATCGAAGAGACGGGACCCCTTCATGCGTGAATGCTGAGGCATCAGACCCTTTGTTGCTAGGATCGCATGACAACTCCCGTCAGCCACGCAGAATTCGGGATGTAGGTGTCTGGGACTAGGGCCACCATCAGCTCTTCAGCGCACAACCCGCAACAGAAACTCAGCCCCATCCAAAAGTCCCAGCAAGAACAAGCAAATCTCAAGGAGCGAAACAAAACATCGTCTGCGGCTTTGAGACAAGAGCCCCCAAGAGTGACTGACCAGACGACTAATCTAGTATACTTTCGGGCCAAACCCTGCTTGATCGCGCATAGCTCCGACCTCCGACATCGAATACGTCGACATTGGAAATCGAAATCTGCACCCGTAGAAACAGCACTACAGCGAACGCCATTTACATGTGCAGTACCAAGATTTTTTGGGCGTATCATTCACCTTTACAAACCCTGACTACACTCCACCCAAAACCCTAGAATCCCGTGTGATTACACCTGTTGAACCCTGAGCTCTCAACCCTGAGGCGTTTCGCCCTATAATCCCCAAAGCCACGAAGCAGCCGCAAGAGCCGAGCTGCGTAGCAGCTTCTGCTGCAGGATTCTCTGCAGGTCTGGTAGGAAGAGATCCTCCTTGCAGCAAAAGTGCGAGATCTTAGAGAAGTCTTCCAAGGGCCAGGTATGAACTACTCCGACAGCCCCGAACCTTGAAGATGTTCAGAGAAGAAGGGATCCATCGAATCTACACCCTACTTTAATACGATCCTGGAAGTAAGACCACTCGAAAAACCTCCTCAATTCTGAGGCCACCAGGATACCCCAAGCTTCATTGGCTTCTTTCGGCCCTTCTCCTTGGAAGCCTTGGCCCTTCTCAAAGAGGCACTAAAACCCTAAGTGAAGCCCCCAAAAGCTCCAAAACCCCAAGACCCCCAAGCTCCACTCTGAAGTGCACCATAGATCATGCGAACACCTCTTAGGGGCTAGAGTGCCTGCCAACTCGTGAGCTTATCCTGACCCACAGCGCCGGGGTCGAAAGACATGGAGTCGCCACCTGCCCGTACCGCCTACCTTGGGCCCCTAAACCTCGCAAGCCTAAACCCTGAACCCTAAACCATCTCAACTCCTCAACTCCTCAACCCCAAACCGTCAAACCTGCAGAGCTCAAAGCCTCTGTCCCAAACTTTCCGCCTCATGGTCAAAGACCATGGAGTCGAGCCGGTCGACGCCCTGGGCCTTGAGGTTTCCAGCAAACAAGGCCTTACTCATTAGAACAGGGTTTTCTACTCCGTTTTTTGAAGGAGTTCACACAGGGCTTCAGGTGCCTGAATATCAGGACTAGGATAGGGTTTAGTGGAAGGTCGTTAATGAAATTCTTTAGGGGCTGCCTTGAATGTTGATGTTGAAACAAGCGGGTGCGCCAGTTAAGGCTTTATGTAAACTTGCCAATATACCATATGACCAATAGAATGGTGCTTGTGATGTGTACCGATCATCGACCCATGAAACTATAGCTTCCAGTGTATGGCGTTTAGCCATCGTTCTCGGATCTTGTCAGTGCATGTCGTGATTCCTGAGCCCCTACACTAACAAGCACTGGACACGACTTCCAGGCGCCGAGCCTTCAAACCCAATGTCAACACAAGAGAAGCCTTACAACCAAAACTTTCAATTAAACCCCAAGCACCAGAAGCCCGAAACCAAAACTTAAACCCCCAATGCCTCGAAGCACCAACTCCTGGAAGTCCTAAACTCTGACCTGGAGACCCTAAAGTCTTAAAGCGCTAGAAGTCCTGAACCCTAAGCCCTGAAACCCTGAAGCCTCAAAAACCCAAACACGAATTCTAGAAACCCAAACCCGTAGGCTAAAATCCTAAAGCTGTGAAGCCCTAGCACTGGAATCACTAGAAGCCCTGAACCCTGAAGACTCAATCCTGAAACCCCATAGGCCCACAAGTCCGGAAAGCTGGAAGCCTTACAACCTACAACTCAGAACCCGAAAGCATCCGCGCCTTCAACACTACCGGCCCGAGCAGCTAGAACCCTAAAGCCTTAAAGCCTCAAAGCATTAAAGCCCTGAAAACTGCAAGCACTGAACCCGCTCCCAGCCCCAGTGAGAGAGCACCTGCAGCGTGCTCAGAAGCCGTTCTATGTCCGGAGCTTTCATGTCCACAGGGATCCACCTCCCAATAAGTTCGATTTTTCGAGTTTTTCATGCCTACAGCTTAAAGTGCAGGGTTGAGGCAGCATGGGGTGAGATAGGCTTCAAAGCTGCTACAGTGCTTCTTGCAGGTTTAAAAACGTTTACTATGACGGGCCTTGGTAGATCCAGACGATAGTTTGGGTATATGATAGTATCACTATGTAGGAACAACAGGGCTATGTTCTGACTACATGTAGCGACGATGTAGACCTATATTTATATCAGCCTCGAAGATCTTAAACCGCCAGCAGCGGGGTGTGATCCGGGGTTGAGGGTTGCGGGGTCCAGGGGCGTAGGCCACTGGTTAAGGTGTATGGATGCGGACGATCAGGCGTTCCCGTAGCCCCTAACCGCTAAAACCTAGATCTGATCTCTGATCTCAAGGCCTTTGGCTCTACATGTCTGAACCTTAATAACGGCTCAAGCCAAAGCGTCTATCTCGCAACCCTCCACCATGGCCCGAGGATTGAAACTAAAGCAGCCAGATCGAATCCGTAATCTTCAACCTATGATAAAGAGGTTGCGAGACACTGCGCGCTGTATGACGATCCAACGAGCTTGGCGACTTTGCAATCATTGTTGTCCCAAATCCCAAACCCGAAAACATGGATCCCAAAGTACCAAAGCCTCAACCTGAACCATGGGGCTTCTAGAAAGGCATCGGAGATGCTTTCGATCCTAGAGCTGGAGGTCTCAGGGCTTGAGGTGGTCGGTTTCGGGGTTCGGCTCAAACGCCTGAAAACCTAAACCCTCAACCCCTAAAGCCGGAACACAAAAACACGCTTAGGACATCATTGAGCTTCATCCTACGAGGCTCCTGGTCCCTGTGCCGGGGACTTCAGGTATGGCCGCATGGCTGTGTCTTGGGTACTACAAGAGGGGCCGCAGAGACCGCGAAAGCGACAGAAAGGGCTGAGCGTATAAGATGATCGTTTAAGAGCCCAGCTGCTCATGTGCACCGCGGCTATGTGCGGCTTGTCAGAGAACTAGGAAGTAGTCTAGAACCCGAGTTGAACCCTACACCTCGAGGTTTTGGGGCTTGAGACCAGGCAGGGACTGCACTGATCTCGAGTCTGAAGCCCAAGAGGCGGGGCTGAAGGCGCAGCACGTTCGATCTAGGTTTGGGGATTGTGCTTCTTAGGCTACGAGAGCTTTCGGCAATTTCTGGTCTGAGGGTCTGAGACTGTAGTCACCGAAGTAGCTATCCGCTCAGAGCGGGGACGTTTCTAGGATGTTTCTCGGCCGAGCGAGAATTCAACAATGGAGGGGTTCTGTGGAGTCTTCAACCCTGCATCCGCAAGCGCCTTTCTGTCAACTGCTTCGTCAATGATCTCTATATCTTGCCTCTGCCATTGCAAACCCTCCTACTTGCCGTCTTACTGCGACAGACACTACGATCAGCAGAGAGGGGCTTCCTCCGTGTCCAATTTTGGGCCTCAGTCCGAATCACAAAGCCCTGTGCTGTCGCGCGGGTCCCGCCTCACATCCTGACCCTGTGAAGCATGAGCCACGACTCCTCGCTCACCCAAGGGTTGGTCGGGGCTTTGTGGATCTACGCTCACAAATTGCTTGATGGCTGCTTCTTACGCAGTTTCACTGCCTGGTTGGAACCAACGGACAACTGCTATGAGACGACCAAGACTGTCTTAGCCTTACTCGGACTCAACTACTATCATTATATCCTTCGTGCTGGTGATAATACTTTCCCGGAAGAGGATCAGGGAGTGTGTTATCGGTGGTCATTACGGCTAGGACTCGGAAGAAGGATGTTTGAACCCGGAGGAGACTAGAGCCGAGGACCTAAGGGTCTAGAGAGGGTAAGGGTCCAGGCATGTTCTACACGGGAGGTTCAGGGTGTAAGGATTCAGGAGTGGTTCATCTGGAGTTAATGATTTCAGAGCTACAGGTCCCGTGGTCACCTCTATTTGATTGTTCCGGTCGTTCTGCAGGGTGTCTGCTAAGGAAGTCGGACCCATCCCAGATAGACAAACCTCCCTCCTACTAAACAAAGACTCGAGCCAAGTGCAAGTGGACTTCTCACAGTGCACTGACACTGAAACCAGTACCGACAGACCTCAAGCCCAAAAGCCCGAAAGCTTTTGACTGATGCGTGCCAGATATCTCTTGGCAGCAGCGAGCCATTCCTCGTTGCCCTCTGTGCTGACAATCCTCTGGTTATGGATTTTGCAGGAGCCCATGCATCTGAGTGAGGCTTCAGAGCGTTAAGCTAGTGTTAGAAAAGGGTATGCCCTGTATATCTTTGAATCAAGCTTAGTCGTTACTGCTTGTACACGAGTCAACAGGAAGGCTATGGCTTGTTATGTTTCCTGCTTGTTTGTGGGTGTGACGGTTGTGAAGATGGTGCTAGCTGCTGGAGCGTTCAGGATCCAGGAGCCTCAAAATTTCAGGACAAACCCTGCAGCAGCCAGGAACCTAAGCATGCACTGGGCAAAACGCTTCATAGTTGCTGAAAGATCTCCTTGAAGAGGGAACGGGTGCTGGTACTGCGACCCGGAGAAGGTTTGCCCTCCACATAAGGGGACTTGCGCAGTCAGAAGATAAGGCACCGATACTAATACTAGGAATGCTTTCAACTACCGGTCAAATTGTAGGGGATGTGAACTATACTTCAGACATGGGAAGCCGAAGCAAAGCCGACTTCAAACAGTGTACAGAAGACCAGCCTTCTGCACAACATTACCTGTAGGGTCTGGGCACACGTGCCGTCATCAGGCCACTACAAAAGCGTGCAGTCAACCAGTCGACTGTGCTGTCTGTCCTGCATGCACAGAACCAAGGACAAACACGGCAAAGAGCTGCGCAGCCTTGCTATCCTTCAACATTAACACCCCAAAATGACTCTAAACCCCCTGAACCCTATGTACCATGAAGGCCTCAAAATATGCGAAGCCTAAATCCTTCAAACCTAATAGCTCGCAACCCTACATGCCCAAAACCCTGAAACCCAGAAGCCCTAAACAATGAACCCTAATGGTAACCCCAATGCCCTGAAGTCCAGAAGACCCAAACCCAGAAACCACCCATCTTGGCGAGCTAAGCTTCGTACTGCCCGGCCGGTACTTTAAGGCCGACAGGATGCTAAGCGTACCGTCTCCTTCAGGGCTTTGGCATTTCTCGAAGCAGGTTCGTGGGGCTTTCTAGGGCTTTGGCGGGTAGGTGTCTCGGACGTCATTGCTTTGGGGCTTTTCGGGCTAATGTGATGGTTTAGAGTCAAGAGGTAAGAAGCGCAGTGCAGAAAACCACGTCAAACATTCAGCAAAATTGTATGTACTCGTAGATATTTTGTTCTTCACTGGATACCGACTGCTTGAACTTGCACTGACGATCTCAAGCAGAGCATTGGTACAATGTCCATCAGGCAATGAGGCCATGCTGGGGGCACAGACCTTAAACACTGAAACCCTCACCTTGCACCCCTAAAGAAAGTCTTAATCCCTTGGAGCCCTGGGCCTACAAACCCCAACAGCAACCAACAAAGCCCTCCCCCCCATAAATACACAATCCAAAAGCCAGCTGGACCTGTGATCCCAGACCCTGAACCCTAGACCCCAAAATCCTGCATGGCAGCCGAGCTCCAAGACAGCTGCTGGAGTTCCTTCAGGCAGCCCTTCCAACCCTTTCCTGAGAGGCTTTGAGGAGGTTTAGAGTTTAGGGCTTAGTTCGACTTAGGGGATAGAATTCAAAGCTTACGCCGTAGTGGTTTTGTGATTCCGGGCTTGCGGCTCGTGATACACAGAATTTGGACGTAGAGGGTGCTTTGTGTTGTGCAGGGTTTAGCGTTTGGGGATCTGGGACTTCGCCCTCACACACAGCGCACCAAAAGGAGGAATCCCAAAGCGCACTATCCATAGTATGCCATAGTTCCTATGTTCCATACGGCTATCACCATAGTGATATTTGCACGGCCCAGCCTAAACTCTGCCCGTCAAACAACTGCTTCAAGAACCGTTCCGAGGGCCAGAACCCGACGAAACCCAAGTTGTTGGCTCACTCGAGTAAGCAGCCAAGCAGCCGGACGGAGTCTTCGATGGTTTGCCCTGCGCGAGCAGGTTTTTCCAAGGTGTGCATGGGATGTAAGGGATTACGGTTTAAGGAGGCATGGCTCTCCGAACGTGTGTGTGTGTGTGTGTGTGTGTGTGTGTGTGTGTGTGTGTGTGTGTGTGTGTGTGTGTGTGTGTGTGTGTGTGTGTGTGTGTGTGTTTGTGTGTGTGTGTGTGCGTGTGTGGGGGGCTCTGAGTACGTATGTATGCGGTGTGTGTGTGTATGTATATAATGCATATATAAACATATATGGTGGAAGTGTGTATATATACATGTATAGAAACCCTATACACCGACGTGTATGTACATATATACATATATACATATATATATATATGTATGTATGTATGTATACAAACATCGTACGTGCACAAAATATATATGCATACATGTAGTATGTATATATGTACCTATGCACGTGCGTATGTATGTATGTACCATGTAGGTCGGTAGGTATGTAGGTAGGTACCATGCGTGCCGGTCTGTGTACACTCAGATGCATGTATGCAAACATGCATGTATGCCTGAATGCTGAATGCAAGTGCTCGTAACAGCGTGCTGCTCGTGGGAGCCATGTCTACAGGGCAGACGGGTGCAGTTTTCGGAGCTTTTTAAATATTAACTAAACTTTAGGGCTTCAGTCTGAGACTTGCAAGAACCACGTCGAGAAACACATCCAGTATCCTTGGCACAAACTAAGACCAAACTGTTCAACATTATGGTTGCGCTTATGCTACCGATTCGACGATGGTGATATGGTGAAAACTCGTCTTTATCGTCTTTATGCTAATTACGTTTGGCGTCGATGCACGACTTCGCGAAGTCAGAACCGCCTTTCGCACGACCGAGGTGAAGTCCCAGCCGCTTCTTCTCACCTAAGTCAAGAGCCATTTAACCTGATGTTATACGGCCAGGGTTTCTTAAGCAGGTTCCTACATTAGTTCAGGGTTAAGGCCGAGGGTTGATAGGGTTTGGAGTGCAGCAGTGGAATTAGTTTAGGGTTCATTAGGCTCAGGGCTTCGGTTTGCATCCACATCTCTGAGTGCACTCTTCTCGGAAATATGGTCTGATCTTGGGGACAACCTTTAGTGTGCGCAGGAACGAGCTATCTAAACCTGAACACCTACACACCACACTCTGAGCCTTACACGCTACTGCGTGCTTCACGATGTCCTGGCAAGGAGTTCTATTTGGAGGCTCAGGCTTGAGATAGGCACCATGCGCCAAGATCTCAGCAAGTCTCTCTAGCTGCTGCTGCAGCCCCCCTGAGCACATACACCACGTACTAAACCCCAAAGCTCTTAAACCTTAAGCTCCGTCACCGAATAGCCCCTCAGCGCTGATTATTTAAACCAAACACACCTACTTCTGCCACGGCCACTGCTGCTGCAGCTACTGCCCCTACTGGTACTGTTCCTACTACTAACAATACAAGCCCCAAGAACCCATCAGCAACAAGGGTCTCAGTCATGACGGTAGCAACAACGCCGGCCGCTGGAAACGGTATAGTATAGTTTCAGAGCATTAGTTGCTGTGGGAAACAACGTCAATATTCAGCAACACAGCGTGATCCTGGACATGCGAAGAACTATCGGAAAGCAGCAATACACATGCTCATAGCCCTCACAAGGGAGAACCTCGGGCAATGCGCATTGATGCGGGCACTATAACACTATGGCAGTCACAAGATAGTTGAATAGCTAGGTGTAGCGGCACTGGCACTGATGATGATGATGGTGGTGAACAGCTTCAGAGGCCTTCAAGGGGCCTTCGGGCTCAGGGCCGGCCTGAAAGATCAATTCGAATCCGAAGCCCTTATACAGCAACAACAGGCCTTAACCAATACACCCAACCCCGCGTCCTTAAACTCTACACCCTGGACACAGTCCCAAAGCCCGAGCAAGCCCAAACTCCAAACCGCCCACCAGCCAAAAGGAACCGGAACAAAAACCCTCACACTGAAACCCCTAAACCCCAATACCTTTACCCTGGAGGTGTGCTTAGGAGCCAGCTATACTGGACAAACTTCTCCAACGCTGCATCGATGTCCCTGCTGGCTCTGGAAGGGTTCGGGTCTGAGGCTGAAAAGGTTCAGGGTTTAGTGACTGTGTCGTGTCTCGGCCTAGTGGGGAGCTGCGAGGCTAGGGTTGAGAAGTTGGTGTTTAGGGTTCAGGGTGCCTCAGCAGGAACCAACGACCTTGACCGACGTGACGACCGAAAGTTCTGTCGATGACTAGCAAAGAAAACATTCGACACTCTACCAACTTCAGGAATGAGTGCGAGGGCTTCTCCACCATATGCAGAGGCATCTGCGCCGAGAGTGTGCAAGGTTCGGGCTATTGAAAGGTTGGCGACTTACTATGTACACCCAAAGCCACCCGAAACCCCAATCACCAAAGAACAGCAACGGTTCCCTCAACCTTAAACTCTTACCGCCGAAGCCTTCAAAAGGACCCTGTACTGCATCGGGAACAGCACTCCCCGGTCCGACCCGGCAGGCGCATTCTTGATGACGTAGTCTGCGAGCTCCTTCATACCAGCACCTGGGAACAAAGTTCGCTCGTATGGTGTTTAGGGTTTGGGGTGTGGGCTTTAGGGAAGAGGTCTCTGAAGGCTTGAGGGTTCCAGGTTCACGTCTCATGGTATACGGCGTTCAAGGTTTACATACTAGTTCTGCCGAGCGCAGGGAATGCACTGTCGTCTTTCGGGTCTATCTTTGGAGAAGGAGGAGGCTGTTTTGACTATATCACCTTGCCCCGTGTCGGGGCTCAATTGTTGCATGCAGGAGAAGCAACAGCTCGTTTTTCGGCGCCTCGAGACCGCTAACGAGGTGTAGGAGTCAAAAATAAACCCTAAACTCTCAGACCAGAAGCCTTGAAACCCAACCTCAAGTCAGATGAACCCTAAACCCGCGCGAAGGAGCCGCAACTCAAGAAGCCTTCGGACCACAGGTGGATCATTCATATTCCAGCTGAGAGCGGCACACAGCCCCAAGATCATTGGCCATAACCGAACCTCGCGATGCCACACTTTCGAGGTCTTTACGATGAGTATCAATCGCCAAAGATGGCAATTATGCAGTTTTGCTAGCACTGTTGTATACCGCGAAAGCCTAGTCCAATTACAACAAGGTCCTACGTTCAAGACAGATTTAATTTGGTTCTGGGCGTGAGAGAGTTGGGATTTGAAACCGAACCCTAAAGTTAAATCCTAAGCCCTGATTTCTGGTCCTTCCGAAAGCTCACACCGTGGTGGACCCCAAATGGAAATTCTCCAGGGGCAGAGGGAAACAGATTCAGCGGGGTGCATGGTCGAGAGAGTCTTGGGGGATTTGGGCTTAAGGATGCTGATGTGTCGTTTCAATTACACAATCTCTTATGCAGTGCCTACGAATGTTCTGTTTTGTGATTTTCAATTGTCTTCGTGATTCTAGGGGCCGTCGCGTACATCGAAACTCCGTAGACCCGTAGACTTACCTAAACTTCGGCGAGCAGTGGAGTGAAGTGGAAATTCCTGAACCACCCCAGGGAGCCTCTGATAGTTTTCATGTCCCCACTCACCCAGCGGTTTGAGAGGTGAATAGATCACACGGACACGATCTGTCACATGCACACCCCTGAGTGAGTGTCGTAAACCGAACCAGCCTGGCACAAGCCTTACAGCCACAGACCCAAACCCTGAACCCCTGAATTCGAAATCCCGAAACCTATGAAACCAAACGGTTACAACCTTAAGTCATAAGCTCTATGTATTACAGACCTGAAATTGTATGAACCCTAAACCTGATGCGACCCAAACCCTTACAGCCCTAAATGCTGACCAAGTGGCCCGCAGCATCTGCGCTGCAGAACTTCGGCACCTAACGTGGGAAGTTGAATGGGGCTTCTGAGGTTAAGGAATTAAGGTGTGGGCTCAAAGATTCTTAAGGTAAGGTATAGGGTTCACGAGCTTGGGCTTGGGCCTTGGGCCTGGAGTTTTCGGAGAAGAGTTGTTTGCATGATTTTTACGGGATTTGGGAACTCAAGTTCTATGTGCACAGCGATGCAGAGCTTTGGGCGTGGGCTTCAGGGTTTAAGCTTTTTAAGTAGCGGTGTCGGACTTTGAGGTGTGAGAGTTCAGGGTTAAGGTTAGTAGGGTTAAGGGCTGTTGGATTGGTGGTTTTAGCAACCCACAACTTTTTAACACCGAGCAACCCTTTCAAATCATCACTTGGGACCTTGATTGATTCAGAAATCTAGCGGTCTACAGCTGTGGTGCGTTGATAGCACAACTCAGAATCCTGCATGCACCTCTATCACGACAATTTTGCTTGCGCTTGGACTCGCAATTACGTTACAGCGTCGAACTATGCCCACGTACGCCATGCCCTTATTTTGCCCAAGCTCGCATGCGCAATTTGTCTAATTTATCTGCATAAAAACAGTGGAAAGGAAGAACGCCCGGCCTCAATGCTGGAAGCCGTCAGTGCTAACCACCACAGACTCAAAACCTCAAAGCAAGTACAGCCTTGAACCCTAAACGACCCTAAGATACCCTAAGACCCCAAATAATGACCTTGATCCCCGAGCCTGGCAAAGAAAAGCCTGAACACTGACGAATCCTGCGGTCTGGACGGCCTCAGACCCGAGAGTCTTTCAGCCATTAACACCCAGAAGCCAGGTTGGGGCTTAGAGCGGAGCCTCTATCCCAAGCGAACGCGAGGAATTGAGGAATTTGAGATGCGATTAAGCGAGCCCACAGTACCCAAGGTATCGGTTGAATAGGGGCCTTGACTGATCATGGGTAGTCAATGTAAGTACCACCCTAACCTCTCATCGCGCGTTTTCATCCAGATCGCCCACGCACACCTAATGACCTAATCGAAGCTCAGCATGCATCTTGTCCCCTTTCAAGAAGGGTTTAAGGCTTAGGTTGACTCCGTGTCAGCTCCTGCCGCAGGACTTTGTGCAGGTGGCCCCATGGCAGAGCACATGGCTAAGCAATGATAAGAGATCACACTTTTTGTCTTTACGACATGCCTGTTAGACACGTAAACTAACAAGCGTACACTCCAAGTGAGCCAAGCCCAAACAGGGTTTCCCGGATACAAAGATCTAGTCAACAATCCCACAGCCCTACATCCTGAACCCTAGACGCAGACAGACAACTGTAACACCCAACGCCCCTGAAGCCCTTGTATAAGCTCTGAACCCTGCAGCCCCAAGCCCTCAAAGCCCTGGACTCAAGTCCCCGCCTGCGTTCGCGGCGTCAATGGCGCTGTGGGCGCGAATACAATTGCGGTCCGGACCCAGTTGTGATTCAATTCAGAGCTTAGGTTTCAACTGTCACCGGCTCATGACCGCAAGGCTTCGCATTGTGTTAAGATCTTTCGGATGCTGAATTGATTAAGGGTTGTCAGTAAGCCGAGGGTCCAAGGGGTGAGAGGTACCGGCGTTGGGCTGGGCTTTGGAATTCATGCCTTTTTGAGCCTCTTGGCGTTCTGCATCCGTGGAACGTGGACACGCATAAACCAGGCCTTCAAACTATGCAATCTCACCCGACTGGTAAGGCATCGTAGGGGTGGGACCCAGCCAACTTCCCATGTCTGACTGAGCGTTGCTGTGGGCCAAAAGCGTTCTGCAGCACATTAGGCAAATCAAGTTTCCAAAATTCGGTGTGGAGACTGCTAAATCTAAATAATTATGCGACTTAAAGCCCAACACCCTGAAAGCCCTGAACCCTGATCCCCTGGACCCCTACTCCAAACACCTCAACCCCCAAAGCCCAAGAACAACTCGTGGGCTGTGGGCATGGGGTTCAAAGCCCTCTTCCGCAAGTCTCAAAGCTCAACACAAGCCTTTCAGAATTCTGGGGGGTCAGGTCGCCTTGCCTTTGGGTTTCTGAAGGGTCACAGTGGCTCCAGAATACAGCAACACTAGGGCTTCGAGGGGGTTCGGGTTTCAGATTCTTGGGCTGTAGATTGTGGACTCGGTTTGCTTCTTGTTGGTGTGGGGGGCCCCGAATGGTTTGGGGTTTTGGGGTTACGGAATCGGGCCACTTGACCGGAGGCAAGGCTTAGGGTTTATCCAGCCTCAGTAAGCGATCGTTCTCCGGCGCTGGAAAAACCTGCTGAAACTTTGGGGCTGCTTGGGTTTAGGTTTGAAGCGTTCAAGTTCGCCCCAAAGGCTCACTGATAGAACCCCTTCTAAACTCAGTCCTACAACTCTACGATCTCAATCCCAAAATCCCATCGTGGAACTCCCAGACCTTAACCCCAAAGCACGAAAGATGCAAAAATGAAGCCCCACATCCCAGAAACAGCAACACGTCAAACACAAAAAACCGAGCCTACATCCCGGCCCCAACCTGAGTGTAACATTTCGAAAGAAAAGGCTAGGGTAACCACCCGACCCAAACCCCAAACCCTACACTCCAAACCCTTTCTTGACGGTAGCAATCCTTAAGCACTGGACCCTTACGCCCGGAACCCTGCACCAAAGCTTAGAGGGCTTATTGGGGCTTATGGTCTGTAGGGCTAAGGGTTTACAGGTTAGGGTTTGGGGCTCAGGGTCCTTTTACAACTCCGTTGACCGAAATCCTGGAAGCCTCCCCAGGTTCAAAAACGAGCCGGTCGGGCGCTACGAGTTGTAAAAATGTTAAACTGCATTACCATCTGACGGCTGAATCTCGTTCACATGACCACCCACTGAGGTGCTCCAGTCCGGAGTCATGCGGGAGCACTGCTGAACGAGTTACGACAATGTCAAGTGAATCGGCCACATGCATCTCTTCGTCCTGAGGCTCAAGGGCCTCGTGTGCTCTGTCAATGAGCTCGTTGGGTTCTTTGTATCCCCAATGAACGGTTGTGGAGCTCCGATCGGAGACTCGTACCCGGATGATGAAGGCTCGGCCAAACCGACCGACGCCCCTGCGCCCTGGACACCATGTCCACCCGTGCGCGGCCTGCCGTATTTTGCGGTGCCAACCACAAGGGCAATAATGCCACGGGATGCAACACGCCGGAAACCTCCTTAACGCTCCTCGGCCTAAACCCCAAGTCATCCTACACCACATAATCGCGAAGTCTTTAGCCACTGAACCAATGAGTGAATCCCGAAACCTAAAACCCAAGTCCTAAACCGGGCTCAAACGGCAAGACAAAACCCACCGAATCAAAATCCTTCCCACCAACCTGCAAAGCCCTCGAACAAAAAATACAACTACTGCTGCACAGAATTCCTAAGCCCAACAACCCTCAAAAACAAGCAAACCCTGGAAACACACAAATCCAAAATCCCAACTCAACCCCAAAACTCACTCCAACCGCAACATCCTTAACCTGCTATGCCCAGAATTCCTGAACCCCAAAGCACTCAGCCCCGCAAAGACCCTTCCATGGATTAATGAGACGGAACATGTACCTCGATAAACCCACAACCCCTGAAGGCTTAGCTCGAAGACCAAAGAGAAAAGGCCGGGTCAGTGCCTGTTCGCCTTTCTCCTGGAGGTCCGCCTGGCGAAGTAAGGGTCTAGATGGGTCTAGGGCTTAGAGTTTTGAGGTTTTGGATTAAGGGCTTAGCGGCTTTTGGCCGTTTAGCCTTTCAGATTTGGCGTTTGGTGATGTTTGATGTTTGGGTTCCCGGCTCAGGGTCCGTGGCATCTGTTGCCGGTTTAAAGTTCAGATGTCCTAGGTCCTAGGTATCTCAAGTGTGGCTGGCTTCTCTTGCGATGGAGCGGTGGGAAGGCTTTCAGGAAATCGCTAGCTACCCTTTACTTCACATGGGGCTTCGATGTCACGCGTAGAGTTTCTGTAGAACACTCACTGCCGAGTATCAAGGAATGGCATCAACACTTTTCGAGGATCCCCTACTGCGCACACCTTACCACACACCATGTCAACACAGAAACGAGATCCATCGCAACCAGGTCCAACCAGTAGGCTCACAGTTTGCCGCCCTTACGTGTTGAGGATCGAAAGTTTACATCATGGAGAGGCTTCAACTTTGGCATTGGCGAATTTTGGGGTTTGGTGTTTTCGTGATATAGGGGACGACTAGTGCTATGTGGGCTTGGGCTTCGGCCGAACTTCGGCCCCTTGTGTCCACGGGAGCAAGGGTGGACACTGCAGGTAGGGTTTGAACTTGATCAGGATTTCAGACTTTCAACATGTCTTTCAGCACGAATCGCCCAACAAGAAGAACTCCCCCAAGACAAGGCGCAGGGATAAAAACCGTAAGCCGCAGAGCTTGAACCCAGAACTGAATCATCCCTCAAGTAGGAAATTGCTACTCTTCGAACTTATAGAATTCCTTGCACGATGCTACAATAAGGGCACCCAAAAGTGACCACAGTTTCGACACGGATTTCAAGAGCTTAAACTCAGAATCTCGAGTTCTGCCCAACCACACGGGCAGAACAAGTAAATCCCAAACAGCCTAAACCCCGAAGGCCCAATTTCCAACGATCAACACTGTGATCTTTAGCGGGTTTGTGGCGCGAAAATGAAAACCCAACAAGACGCCTGGGGACTACAGTATACCATAAACGAAGCCTGCCATGCACCCAAGCTGTCAACGTGCAAGCAGTGCCCAGGCTTGCTTCCTCTTCTCGCTCAAATCCTCCGGACACATGCTTAATGCTTCACGACTCCTACCCCGAGGCCTTCATGGGATGTAGATCCTGTTGAAAAGTTGCATAGTTCAATCAGGTCATGCCCTTTCTTGGCAGCAATTGTCGCTGGCTCGTCTTGACTAATTACGCAACAAAGCTCGTGATGCCTTCACTTCCCACGTCTCGACTGCCCATGTTCGCTTCAAGTTACTAGCTGTGCGCAGTGGTACTAGTTACAGCTGCGAGGT